GATAAGATCAGAAATGAAGACATTAGACAACAGATGGGAATAGAGAGAGCAATAGTAAATGATATAGAACAAAAATAATTAATATGGTACGGCCACGTTCAGAGAATGCACAATGAAAGAATTCCAAAACAAGTCATTCATTGGATACCACCTGGTAAACGAAAGAGAGGACGTCCCAAGAAAACATGGATGGAAGGAATAAGAAGGTCGATGAGCGAGAAAAATCTGGCCGAAGATCAATGGGAAAATCGCACAGGGTGGAAGTTAGGCATCGGACAACGTCGTAGGACGTTCTGACCCGAATTTATATATAGTCTGTCCAACGAGAAGATCCTTGACAGTGATAGATGTGTCTGTCATTTTAATTTCAAAGTAGTTTATTTTATTTTGCAAAGAAATAAGTTGGTACAACTAGAACGCATAGCAGGATATGTTTAAAATTTGATTGACAAGATGACAAGTGATTACTTCAAAATTGTATAAAACTGAAAAAATGTAATCGAGTTATTTTATTTAATAAAAACGGTATGTGTTAATACAAAACAAACAAGAACAAGGCACTACATACCAAAAAAATATAAAAAATAACTATTATTTACTTTCAAGCTTTATGAAACTACCCGCATTTATGATTATATTTATCAATATAACTTATGTACAAATACAAATTTGTAATATTCCACAGGTATAAATAAAACAACATAGGTAAATACAACAACTATTTTATTAATAATAACACCTACCAAATTTTATACCTTAAAGGTGGATTAATTACCTTTAATCTTAATTTTTTTAAACCAGTACCTTTTGACATTATTTTTCTGCACCAGTACTAAAATCCATTATTTACCTATCGTGTGATGTCGATATTTTACAGCTACTCCAGTTTTTAGTATGTGTTTAGTTTGATCCTTATATACGAAATGCACTTATCTACGACGAAATGGTATACAAACTTTATCGATGGCAACTTCATTGGTGTATAAGACTTTCTGCCTGGGCAGCGTGTATTAACCATAAACTGTGCTCTGGGCCTACAGTTAATTTTCACTCGATTTTTCCTCCACTTGACTTCAAAAGACACAAAACACACGTAATAATACGAATCAAAATGCATCATCTTTCAAAATGCAGGGTATTTAACAAAAGTTGACACAAAATTATAACCAATAATTTGGCAAGACTTTGACAAGCGTCAAAAATGACAAAAATCTAAAGGCGAGTTCATACGCATCGGCGTCCGTTTGTCGTTCATCGTTCCGTCAAACCAATAAAATTGAAATACGATCTGTCATTTTTTAAATAAACCAATAAAACTGGTTAAAAACAACAAGACACGACGCATGACGGATTTATATTTAAACCCATCCATAGATACCTTTAAAATTATTAGAAACTTTTTTTAGTAAAATAAATAGATTGGTATGGGACGTCATCTGCTTTTCTTCTGTCATCGTCTGTCGAAATCTTACCTGAGAAAAAAAACAGAGTATATATACATATTTATTATTGATTAATACAATTTTAGTGATGTGTTTCTTCATTTTTTTTCCGAGTCCGACTCGCACTTGACCAATTTTATATCATTACTTTTGTTTTAGGCTTCTTATTGGCAAGATTTTCTTTATAAAGCATGTCTATTCATCGTTTACATTCATAAATAAAATGTGTTAAAAACCACAAACATTAATACAATTAATAATATTATCGTCTTCCAGTGGTCTTAAACCGAGAAATTTCCTATGCAGATGTGCGATAGATCATCTGCGTATAGCGCTGCATCACATCTTATCTCTATAACTGTACGAGCACTGGCAGATCATAAATAAGCCTGCCTGCCTGCCGCTATTTCTCGAACCGTACATTGCGCGCATAAACTATAAAAGTAAATGCACATATCTGTGTATATTTGAAATTAGATAGTCGGTGTAATGGACCGACTTCTGAAGAGCAGTTTTTGCACGACGTGACGGCGCACATTGGTTCAGATTCAACAATGATATTATTTATATAAAATTTCAACAATGATATTATTTTCAACAGATGATGGGTCCATTTATTCAAATTTATCACGATCCACTTTTTAATCGTAATAAAAAAACGTACAGGAACGTTGTTTTCGTTAGATTTTGTAAGTTAAATATATCAGTTATTTGCTGATAATGGTTTAGTGTTGCTAATATATTTTGGTTCTTAGTTCAGAGACTTGGAAATAAATTAAATTATAATGGGTTTTGAAGACCAAGGTTAGTACTTTTTAAGAGAATTTTATTAACTTAAAAAATATTTTTTTATGAAGCTAGTAGATACAGAGCTAGTGTAGTAGATACAAGCTAGTGTATACCAAAATTGGTATACACCCTATTTTGAGGTAGTAGATTACGAATCTGAACTTTTTTCTTGACGGTCTCTTACCGTTTTTTTTGAAAAACGGAAAATTATTTTAAAGTTTTCTAGCACATATTTTGCTAGGTATTCAATAAACAATGATGTTATTGCTATTTTCTATTACTTTTTTAACGAATTCTATGCATAATAGAGGAAAATTTGCTAAAATAAATTTGTAAACAATCTGTTTCTGGCATTTAAAGCAACGTTGCCAATGCTAAACCTAAATTTAGCGTGTTTTTTTTGCTCATTCTGGGATTAAGAAAGGCGGTCGCCAGAAGAACGACTCCTTCCCATAATTGCTCTTTTACCAACGAGATCTGACTATTTATAACCACGAAGTCGCAAGGAAGAGTTTTGATTGCATTGGTTACAATTTCCATGCGGAGGGTGTTAATCTTTTGTTGTTATATTATATCAAAAAAATATTAACTCCCTCCCCAAAGAAGTTAAAACCAATGCAATCAAAACTCTTTCGTGCAACTTCGCGGTTATAAATAGTCTTTATAAAACTTCTTTGCGGAGGGGGTTAATCTTTTTTTGATATAATATAACAACAAAAGATTAACACCCTCCGCATGGAAGTTGAAACCAATGCAATCAAAACTCTTCCGAGTAACTTTGTGGATATAGGTAGGTACATTTAATTATTGTCGATCTCATAATAGGTAATTTATTTAAAATCCCTAATCACCCGAAAAAATAGAATATATGGCAGCGTTGTAAATTTTCAAATTTCTAGACTAGGTCTAGAATATATTTGTCTCTCTCATTACATAGGTGAGTGAAAGAAGGATATATCAAATGTCAAACTTCCAACTGGTCTCAATTTTCTTTGTTATTTTGTTAAGAAAAGTGTTTTTCAGTAAAATTTTGGACATTTTTCTATCCCCAATCGAGTGTGGCTTTTAGATAAACTATAATATAATGAAAATATAGTGTAATTATTACTTTATAGGGCCGAAATAAAGAAAAATTCAATGTTGAAATAATGTTCCGCTTTTCTGAAAAACGGTAAGAGACCGCCAAGAAAAAAGTTCAGATTCGTAATCTACGACCTCAAAATAGTGTGTATACCAATTTTGGTTTGGTTTCACAATTGCTTTATTGTTTTATAAACTATACTCCGTTTTTTTTCTCAGGTAAGATTTCGACAGACGATGACAGAAGAAAAGCAGATGACATTCCATACCAATCTATTTATTTTACTAAAAAAAGTTTCTAATCATTTTTAAGTTAACTATGGATGGGTTTAAATATAAATCCGTCATGCGTCGTTTCTTGTTGTTTTTAACCAGTTTTATTGGTTTATTTAAAAAATGACAGATCGTATTTCAATTTTATTGGTTTGACGGAACGACGAACGACAAACGGACGCCGATGCGTATGAACTCGCCTTTAGATTTTTGTCATTTTTGACGCTTGTCAAAGTCTTGTCAAATTATAGGTTATAATTTTGTGTCAAATTTTGTTAAATACCCTGCGTTTTGGAAGATGATGCATTTTGATTCGTATTATTACGTGTGTTTTGTGTCTTTTGAAGTCAAGTGGAGGAAAAATCGAGTGAAAATTAACTGTAGACCCAGAGCACAGTTTATGGTTAATACTTGCTGCCCAGGCAGAAAGTCTTATACACCAATTAAGTTGCCATCTATAAAGTTTGTATACCATTTCGTCGTAGATAAGTGCATCTCGTATACGGTAGAAGGATCAAACTAAACACATACTAAAAACTGGAGTAGCTGTAAAATATCGACATCACACGATAGGTAAATAATGGATTTTAGTACTGCAGAAAAATAATGTCAAAAGGTACTGGTTAAAAAAAATTAAGATTAAAGTTCATTAATCAACCTTTAAGGTATAAAATTTGTAGGTGTTATTATTAATAAAATAGTTTGTTTTATTTATCTATGTTGTTTTATTTATACCTGTGGAATATTACAAATTTGTATTTGTACATAAGTTATATTGATAAACATAATCATAAATGCGGGTAGTTTCATAAAGCTTGAAAGTAAATAATAGTTCTTTTTTATATTTTTTTGGTATGTAGTGTCTTGTTCTTGTTTGTTTTGTATTAACACATACCGTTTTTATTAAATAAAATAACTCGATTACATTTTTTCAGTTTTATACAGTTTTTTTCACAATATTTTGAAGTAATCACTTGTCATCTTGTCAATCAAATTTTAAATATTTCCTGCTATGCGTTCCAGTTGTACCAACTTATTTCTTTGTAAAATAAAATAAACTAGTTTGAAATTAAAATGACAGACACATCTATCAGTGTCAAGGATCTTCTCGTTGGACAGACTATAATTATTAGGTTTTCTCTATGGATACAACTCACTACAGCAAGATATTGCTAGAATATTAAATTCATTTTAATTGTATTTTTTAGACATTGTGAATGATAGTAAAGAGAGCTTCTGAATGAAGCATAACTCATGTCCATTGCGCAAAAGTTCATTCGTTACACCAAATATTCTCTTTTCCTACTCGCCTAGTCGCATAAATAATTATTCTATTACTCTAACAGACATCTGTATGGACATATATAGGTAGACATTTAGAACAACATAAATACTATAATAAATAAAAAAACTTACCTTTGCTTTTGATGTTTTAGGTCCACCTCCCACGATAATAGCAATCACCTCCACCACGTAAGTCTCTACACCAGCCTCCCTGTCCAACTCCGTAGCCGTGGACAGCACTCCCAACTTCGTATCGATGTCAAACAATCTGTCAACTTGAACACCATCACCAGTCACGTTAGTCACGTAGTATTCCACTTCCTCGTTCGAATATTTAGCCGAAACTGTCAAAATCGACGTCCCGATCGATTCGTTTTCGAAAACACTACCCGAGAACCCGCTACTATCAAACTTGGGACCTTTCTCAGACTTACCACTCTCAGCAATAACAGTTAAGTAAGCCTCAGTTGATCTACGCTCATTTTGGACAGCTTCGTCCGTAGCTTTCACGCTCAAACGATATGTTGGTTCGGGATTTGAGAGAGGTCTTCGTAACCTTAATGCACCAGTACTCTGATCAAGCATAAAAAGCTCACTGGGATCGCTAACAAGCTCGTAAGTGACCAATCCATTAGTTGCTGAGTCCAGGTCTCGAGCAAAAACGTTCATAACTGTGATCCCCTGTCTGTAGAACTTCTCGGGTTGTTGAGGAAGAACTGCAGCGTTCATTGAGACGAAAATAGGGGCATTGTCGTTAATATCCTCCACAATCACTGTGACCAGCTTGTCAGCACTTAACCTACTGGATTCTGGTTGTGCCATATCTGTTGCTATCACAGTTAATCTAAAAGTATCTATAGTTTCCCGGTCGATAGGTCTTAAAATATGAATAACTCCAGTTATAGGGTTAATACCAAAATGCCTCTTTGAATCTTCTGGTTCTTGATATGATATAGCATAAGTCACCTTCCCATTTATCCCAGAATCTGGATCATCAGCTGTTACAGTCACTATAGGTGTATGAACTGGAATTCCTTCTCTTATCTGTCTTACTATAGCAGTGCTTGGAAAAGCTGGAGGGTTATCGTTTGCATCTTCTACAGAAATCGCAAACAAAATCGTTGTAAACAATCTTGGACTACCGTTATCCGATGCAGTTATATTCAACTGATACGAACTGAGTTCTTCATAGTCCAAATTCTTATGCAAATAGAGCACACCGCTTAATGGATCGATGTGGAAGGTATCTTTCCTGTTTCCTGCAGTGATTGAATACACCACCTCACTGTTCACACCTAAATCAGCATCTGTAGCCTTGAATTGGATCAGTTCTGTGTTGACACTGGTTACTTCGTTGATAGAAATCTTCGATTCACTTTGAGTGAACTCGGGGGAGTTGTCGTTTTCATCCAAGACTTCAATTTGGACAGTTGTTGTAGAGTTGAGTTGTTTAGAAAGTCCTGCGTCGTGTGCCAAAACGGTTAAGGTGTATTTTGAGACAGTTTCTCTATCTAGAGGACGTGCCAAGATTATTTGACCAGTAGCTTCTTCAATATCAAATCTTTTATTTTCATTTCCGCCGATTATTGAATAATATACATCTCCATTCAGTGCTTCATCAATGTCCTGAGTATACAGTCTCAAAACTTGAACTCCCACACTACTTCCTTCAGAGATCTGTACTTTATAAGGTGTCCTCAAGAACTTGGGAGCATTATCGTTTTCGTCGGCTATATAAACATTAACTTTAACCTTATCCTTGAGTCTAGGTGTTCCGTTGTCTGTAACCGTAGCTTCTAGAGTTATGAAGCTGTGTCCGTTTAGTTGTACCAAGTTTTCTCTGTCAAAAACATGCAGTGTTCTGATGAATCCATTCTTTGGGTCAATAGCAAAATCGTTTTGTAGGTTTGAAAGAGAAAAAATGAGTTCTGCGTTCCTTCCGATATCTTTGTCTGTAGCCGTGAGTTTTCCTACAAATGAGTCAGGTGGTTGGTTCTCCAGAACTTGAAATGTGAAAGTTGAGTTGGTGAATTGAGGTGGGTTGTCGTTTTCGTCGATGACATGGATCACTACGGGCACAACGGAGAATCTGGATGGGTTACCCATGTCTTTTGCCATGACGGTTAAAGAGTAATAATCCTTATCTTCCCTATCCAAAGGTTTCTTTAGGTAGAGAAACCCATCTGGAAAAACTCCGAATTTTTCTTCGCCATTTCCTTCCGTAATCTCATAGGTTATTCTTCCGTTCAGGTCTAAATCAGCGTCACTAGCAGCTAAAGCAAAAAATCTCTCGTTCACTGGTGTACTTTCAAGCAAAGATGTCTCATATGAAGTATGATCAAACACTGGAGTATGATCGTTTACGTCAGCTACAGTAATATCTACAGTATGTTTTGACGATAAAGGTGGTACTCCTCCATCGGTAGCAGTAACTTCGACATGAATGACAGTGTTCGGTTCAGATCGAATAGGTTTGTTAAGGTAGATCACTCCAATAGCCTCAGATATTCTGAATTGGTCGTCTGGATTGTAACTTAACGCATAAGTTATCCTGCTGTTCACTCCAGAGTCCAGATCTCTGGCTCTGGCTAGGTAAACTTCCTGTCCAACTGCCGCGTTTTCAGCTAGTTTAATTTCGTCTTTGAATTTCAAAAAAGTAGGTTTGTTGTCGTTCAAGTCCTGAACTATAATGTTAACTGTTGTTTTGCCGTAACTTAGGCGTGATCTTGCTACTACTGTGAGTGTGTAGGTTATGCTTTGTTCTCTGTCGATTTTCTTTGCTGTGGTGATTTTCCCAGTGGTTTCGTGGATGTGGAAGTTACCGTTAGGATCACCGTAAACTATAGAGTATGTTGCTTCAGCATTACTGACTTTTACACTGCCAACATCGCGTTTTTTAAACCCAGAAATATCATTGCTGTCTTCCAGGATTTCAAACTCGTAGGAACCGTAGTTATCAAAATGTAACTCTTCCATGTAACTGTCTTTCATTATCTCGATTACGGCGTTTTCCGGTGCTTTTTTATCACCATTATCCTTTGCTGAAGCTTGAAATTTGAATATTGGTTTCGAACTGGCTTTAATGTTACCCCTCAAAGTTACTATTCCTGTGAATTGGTCGATAGAAAACATATTATCAACTTCATTTTCGAGTTTATAAGTTATAATGGCATTTTCACCTTCATCTTTGTCTCTGGCGCTAATTTTCAATACTGAAGTATCGGGTTTAGTATCTTCAGAAACCGATATAAAATATTTCAATGGATAAAACTCTGGAGAGTTATCATTTTCGTCAAGAACAGTTAACAACACTGTCGCAGTACTACTTTGAGGTGGAATTCCCTGATCCCTAGCTATAACCTGTATTTCATACACCGAAATTTCTTCTCTGTCTAATTTTTTCTTAGTTGTAAGCTGCCCGGTGAGTGAATCCAGGAAAAAAGTATCATCGTATCGTTGTTTGACGTTCGAATGTAAAGAATAAGTTACACTGCCGTTAGTACCTTGATCCCTATCGCTAGCAGTGAGCATAGCAACTAGAGTCCCTGCAGGAGTACTCTCTGACAAAGAAACGTTGATTTTTGTTTGAGAAAATTCAGGAGCGTCATCATTCTCATCGAGAATTGTTACTTTTAATTGAGTATAAGCCCATTTCGGGTTAGGACCGCCATCTCTAGCCGAAATATTTAATTCTACTGTACCTTGAATCTCCCGATCCAGAGCAGCTTTGGTGGTGATTAATCCTGAATCCTGGTTGATCTGGAACCACTGGTTATCATTTCCTGACACAAAAGCGTAGTAAATTTGTGCGTTCACACCTGTATCTTCATCAGTAGCTGTTATACCGGCAACATAAGTCCCTGGAGGTGCGAGTTCACTTAGCACAGCCGAATATTCACTTTTCTCAAACACCGGTTCGTGATCGTTCACATCGTTCACGTAAATAATCAGAAAAGCTGTAGCTGTCCGTGGAGGGTTACCTTTATCCGTTGCCACGACTGTTAGGTTATATTTCGAAATTTCCTCACGATCCAACACACCGTTTACGCGAACTATATCGAAACTCGGTGTGTAATCCAATCTAAAATTATTTAGTTCATTTCCGGACACTATTTTGACAGTTGTTTCACCGTTTAGTCCTTCGTCCTGATCAACCACTGATATAGCAGCCACTACAGAAGCGTTTGCTGCATTTTCATCGACTGTAGCGAACAAAGCAGTGACAGGAAAGTACGAGAATTTTATCACAGGACTGTGATCGTTTGCGTCGACTAAATTCACTGTAACGTAAGTCCTTCCGTCTTGCCTGGGTGAGCCGTGATCTCGAGCAAAAACCGTGAAAACACAACTTTTCGGACAACTTTTTGTAGGCTGGACACAGTTTTGTTGCGGACAGTTTAGAGGTTCGGTGGTTGAAATGTATCCAGTTTCTGGATCTACCGTAAACTGTCTTTCGTTATCACTGAGGTAGTATGTTATTTTGGCGTTGTCTCCTAGATCGTTATCAGTTGCCATCACTTGAAGCACTGGAGTACCAGGAGGGACACTTTCGTTCAAGCTCACTATGTAGTCACTGTGATCAAAAATCGGAGGGTTGTCGTTTACGTCAAGTATAGTGACGTTTACTTGTAGATACCCGTATCTTGGTGGAGTACCTCCATCTCTAGCACTGATATTTAGGATATAAGAACCCTGAGTTTCTCTGTCAAGTTTACCGGTGGTTTCTAGGTGAAGGTACGAAGAATCCCCTGTTGGGTTCTTGGTTAGAACCAGTTTGAACTTGTCGTTTTCGTTACCTCCGATTATCTCGTAATTGTCACTGATACCGTTTATACCAATATCTTTATCGGTTGCTGCGTCCAGAAGGAGTCTTGTTCCAGACACTGCACTTTCCGAAAAACTGACAGCTATACTGGGTTCAGGAAACTCAGGAGAATTATCGTTTATATCCAGGACTACTATCCTGACTTCGATAGGGTATGTAGGTTGGCTGGATAACACTACTAAATCATAGTGATCGTTTTTCAGGGTTTCCCTGTCCAGAATTATGTTGGTAGAGATTTGTCCTGTTACTGGATCTAAAGTAAACTCTTTGGGAGCTTCATTAAAGCGGTATGTGAAGCCTGTTTTAATCGGAATTCTTCCAGCTAGGGTACCTTTGGGTTGACCTTCGTATATATCGAATGTTACTCTAGTATCGACTGCTCTGCTTTGCATTTGCTCTGTGTAGGAGGAATCTAGAGGTGGTTTTCCGGGTCCTGGTCCAGGACTTTGAGCTCCAACCAGGATCGTCAGGAAACAGCACGAGAGTGTGCTGAGAATTATGGAGCTTTTCATGGTTTAAATTTGTTATATTTGCATGTTAGTACTAGATAAATGTGCGTGTAAAGAGTCAGGGATCTTCTATTCTCCGATCTAACATTCCTCAGTCCCTTGCCCCGCCGTCTAGAGCCTCTTCAGGGCCTGAATATCTCCGGGTCTCAATCTATCCTTTTTGCTCTTCAGCTGTTCCGCCGTACTGCCGTCTCGGTCACTCTGGTATGCAATATGGCCGAACGCGAGATCAGCCACCTCACATTATAAACACTACGCTCGCAGCATCCGTTTCGGACGAGAAGTACCCGAAGACATCACTGGAAACCGCACGGAAACGTTCGTTCGAAGGGTGGTACCGGAGGTTTCACTGAAAATTCGCGACGGTTTTGGTCCTTTCGGCTTTTTAAACTTCACACTGACTGATTGAAAAGCGAATGGGAGCCGTACCTGCCTCGGGTACTTGCGGTGACCGCGCGCGGATGTGGACTGGCCGAGTACCAATTCTTCGGCCGACGGGAGGTGGTTCTTGCATGGTGGCTCCGGCGCGGCGGTGCCACATTGTGGAGGAATTCGGTAGGTTTAGGGATATTGGTAAAGATTAATATTATTTTCCTTGTTATTATGATTTTGTACTGTAGAATCTGTCTGTACTGTACAGGGTGGGTCAAATTCGACGCTTTTAAATGGAAACACCCTTTTCTATAGGAGATAGACGAAAACTAATATCGGTGTCTGGAGCTCAATTTTTATCAAAAATATGATGGTGAAAACGGCACATCGATATTTGTTACTTGTTTCGGAGTTACGTGGTGTTTTTCAAAAATGTGCATTTTTAACAAATCGCTGTAACTTCCTTCTATTGAAAATTTTGTATTTTTATGAAACCACTTCCAAAGCACCTTTTTCCGTAAAATGTAATGGTTTAAGTATAATTTTTTTTTAAATTAATAATTTAAGAGTTTTCAACAGAAAAAATGATTTTTTATTTGGGATATGTATATTTTTAATTACCTAACTGAAATTTAACTTTCCAAAAATATAAGACAGTTGATATTTTATTATAGTCTCCTTCGAAATACAGAATTTTTAAAAGCTGCTCGCCACTTTAACTAGTAGGCTTTGGACCCCTTATTGACGATTTGTCCCTAATGGAACTCAAAAACATATTTTCCAACAAGACGAGGCAGCGCCTCAGAACGCTGAAGTTATCAGTAAATTTTTGCAAACAATTTCGAGAATAACTGTATAACTATCCAAGATCCCAGTCGCTGGCCGCCGAGGCCGCCGGACTTAGTGCCTGTGGATTTTTATCTTTAAGCAAGAATAAAAGTTCTTATTTTTAAATTGCTGGTATAATCTAGACAAGAATTAGAAGTACTTATGCGAGGGTGTTTTTCATCCCCATTGAGTTAATGAATTCCGCGAGAAATGTTCAAAAACGGTCCCGCCTGTCCATAACTGAAGACGATATCGAACACCTCTGTAGCAAAGTCTCATGTCTTGGTTTGTTATTAATTTTTATTGTTATTACATATAATTACTACTTATTCATAGCAGACGAATTTTAAAAAAGTCTATATCTCGAAGAGGAATCGAGCAAAATATGAAGTATGCTATATTTTTGGAAAGGTCATTTTAAGTTATTTTCAATAAAATAAACATATACAGGGTGTCCTATAAAAAATAAAATTTTCTGTTGATAATTCTTAAAATATTAATTTTAAATAATTATATTTAAATCCTTAAATTCTACATAAAAAGGTGCTTTGGAAATGTTTTTCCAAAGGTACGTAGCCAAAAAGGTTGGTAGTTTCCAAAGGGGAAACCAAGTGTAGAATATTTTTACCACCAAGCCATACTGTAGATTGTACAGGGTGGCTCGAATTCGACGCTCATCATTGGGATTTCGGAAACCGTAAGAGATACAGGACCGGTTAAATGGAGGCAAATTTGCGTAATTTGATGCTCAATAAAATGCCGTATTGCATTTTTTTGCCGTATTATTAGTTATTGCCGTATTGCGCAACTTTGCCTTCATTTAATCGATCCTGTATCTCTTACGGTTTCCGAAATCCCAATGATGACCGTCGAATTCGAGCCACCCTGTGCATTGTATGCGATTATAGATCTAGTGTATCCCTCATTCCTTAAGTTATAACTCATGATACTGTCTCTCAGTATCTGAGATGGTTTTACTGAGGTTAGTTTTCTTCAAACCAAAAATTGCCCAAGTAGCATTTGGACGTTATCTAAGGTCGGGTATACGTCGCGTTCAATAAACCCGACGTTGGGTACCAACGTCGGTTCGACCACCTGACGACCCTTATTTGCACCTAAATGGGGAATACAGATTCGGGTCGCCTCGACGTCGGTATCTGACCTAATGTGGAATGTAATTCTACCAATTACCAACGTCATATTTCGTTGGATTTTAGTTACTTAAAATTCGTCGCTAAGCACTTACCTTACGTTTGGTTTCATATTCGCTACCAAGAATACATAAAAACCTAACCAAACTACCTAATTACAAATGGATTCATAATCACTCCTCGAATATAACTATAAGTGCCTATCTAATTTCATATTATAATAATTCTCAATCATTAATCCAGACATCAGTTTTGTCAACGGAAGTCACTTTTTTATATATTTGATTAAAATACTCCGGAAAACAACGAGCGCCTTCAAAATTAGGTAGATTTATGAAATAAAAATATCTATAAAAAGTAACTCGCAAAATATTTTTTTTAATTTTCTAGCTGGTTTAATCATAAAACTGTACTGTGGTTCCCCCCAAACACAACCTTATCAATATTATTCTACTAGAAATCGAAATGTGAATATAAATTTTAAAAACAAAAAACGATTTTAAAATGGCTGACAATCGGATACTTGTTAAGAATGGCGGATTTCTGTGTCCGACTTAATATGAAGTACCAATATACCAATTCCGACCGGGTCTCCAACATTAGTCGTCTCACACGACAGAAGTCATCAAACCGGACGACCGGTAATCGTATTATGACGTATATAATTCCAACGTACGCCACGTAACCTCACTTTGCGTATCAGTGATTTGTGGATTTGTGCAACTATATTTTAGTTTTTGTTTTCTCCTTAAAAAAAATGGGCAGCCACTTTTCTAAGCCTAACCTCACATGTGGGAGGAGGATGGGGTCTGCTGATTTCCTAAGCTAAAAAATGAAATTAAGATGCACCAGTGTAATGCAACATCTCTTCCGGATAAAAAGCATTTATGGGTGGAGGCAAGACATCACTACTACTATTATTATTTTGCAAAAGCCTCGCCCTCTTTCTGTAAAATGTAGATGAATGTCTAAATGCCTTTTTAGTGTTTTTTTAGGCATAATAAAAAAATTAAGTTTGTTTACAGAAACTTTTTATTAGTTTATGTTCATGATGTTCATTAGGTCGCAAATGCTACTTATAGGGTGGTATTTACGGACGTAAATAGAGATACGTAAATTAGGTTATAAATATGAACATAAAATACAACAAAATATAATTGAACGTTAGTTTAGGGATTATCAGTGAGACGTATCTTATTCGGACAACGGGTAGATGTCGGGCTAGTTCAAGTATATGTACGTCGTGCAAGCCAACGTGGGAACGACGCGACGTTGGTAAATTAATAAAAATGGTACGTTGTTATTTTGTACGTCGACAGATCGTTGGATTTACCGACTCGGATCCAACGACGTCGCTTTTAATAGGAAAGCGTCACCGGTCGTATCACCAGCACCCGACCTAAATTTGCACAAAGTCCGACGTCGCTTCAGGTCAGATTTAGTTCGAAGTCAGATAGATGCTACTTGGGTGGTTAAAGAATGCATAGAGAAGCTGGAACAAATTAGGCAAAGAAAATACAGTCTACTAATACCAAAAAGACCGTATGAATGAACGAATTGTAGAAGACGTCGGCAACCGCGCCATTCTTCTAACGCTATAACGTGGTACCTGTAGCATCGGCGCGCTGTTGCCGCACCGCCGCAAAATCACTTGCGACTTCTAATCGAACGGAACATAAACAATATTTATAGCTGTGTCAGATAGGGCCTGTTCGGGCAGTAAATCTGCCGGGCAGCGCGGTCGGTCGGTGTGTGCCCGGGCCGCGTCGCTCTTTTTTCCAAACGGAGCTGGAATGGTATCTAAGGATCTATACAATCTAATGCCAGCCCGATAAAACGATTGTTGTTTCTGAGAAGAAATGCGTACGGTTTACGATTCGATCTATCTATCGTTTGATTCTTCAGCCAGTCTCTTCATTTATTGTTGTTTTAGAAGCATTTAGAACTAAGTTATTTTAGATTATTTTTAGGCTAAGGTCAGTGATGGGCAAGCAGTGATGTTAATATTTCAGAAATTTTTGATTGTTGCAGGAAATTTCCGAAACTTTCGGAAATTTATGAAATTTTGGGAAATTTTACAATTTTGCATATTTTTTGTTGATACAATAAAGGAATAAATTATCTAGATAGACATTTGATACCAACATGTGCCACGCCCTTTCTAATTCGAAGTTCAATAAAACACAAGTTTACTTAATGCAGAATGAGTTACATAGAGGCCACTAGCTTTTTAATTTTAACAGCCGGGTGGTCGGGGTTCAAAGATATTAATAAAAGGGCGCCACGAGACTATACTCTATGAACTCGGCAATAAAGATGTAACTATTAAGTACCCAAGCAGCATTTGGACGTCGGGATAACGTTGTGTCACGCGACCAAACGTCGGGGCGCAACGTCGGCACAACCTCGTGCCAACCCTAGTCTGCACTAGTTTGGAGAATCATTTTTGGGTCGAAACGACGTTGGATACCGACGTTGGCTAGCAGCCTAATTTAGTACAAACTGCAACGTTGTTTAAAATCCTAATTCACAGAAATACAAAACTAATATGGCGTCTAAGTCGCGTTTTATCCTAAATTGGGATAATTATAGTAAAAATATTATTTTTATGATTTAGATAGAGACATATGTCAGATGCCAGTGAAGGAAAACAAAACAAAAGTATTTAAGTGTGGAGGATGTTTGAAGATCATAATTATTGAAACACTTTTAACCGACTCTGTAACTCGTTACCCAAGGCAAAAAAGTTAAACGCAAACAACTTTATTGATAAATGTATTGTTTCTACTTTGAAAAATACTAATGGGCCTTAAAATTAAAGAAGTTTTAAAATTTTTTTGAATTTTTTTAGTAAATATGAGAATAATTTATTCGCAGTCGAAAATATTGTTTCTGCGTGTTTTTAGGGTCAAATATTTCAAGTTAATGTATTCAAAAGCAGGAAATGCTATTTTAGGAACGAAACATTTTCTTATTTAACATAGTTATTTAACAACATGGCGGCTTTCACTTTGTTGTTTTGGAGATTAAGATGGAGTAGTTCGAGTAGTCGCATACTGGACTAATAAAGTCGCAGTTCGGCCCTTAACAGGTAGTATACT